GATACCAACTTGTAACATCCATAAAAAACCACGCCAAATTTAAACTTTTAAAAACATTTAGAAACCAACAGTCATTACAAATCTGTTTTCAAAATAGTTCTACAGCAGAGTCTCCCATAAACAAAATCATAAAAAGTGAGGAGCGGTATGATCACGCCTTTGCCTTCCCCCGATCATCTGAGGTACCTGAAACCAAAACTGAAACTGTAAGCCCAAAGCTTAGTGAGTTCCCCCAAAATACCGATACACAACAGTAACACATATACAAATGACAGCATGCAACGGTTCCACAACTTTACAGCCTGGATTACCCCTGGGCCCACAGTGTGAGTCTAGTTTGCCTTCCGGGCCCACAGCTCACATCTGGATTACCACCGAGCCCACAGTACGAGTCTGGAATGCCCTACCCGGCTCTCAGCTCGTATTTGGAATGCTCCTGAGTCCTCAGTATGAGTCTGACATGCCCTGCCCGGCCCTCAGCTCATATCTGGAATACTCTAGGGTTTGTTGGCTACCACACGAAGCCGTACAACCTCAACCCATCCCACATAATATGTCGACATATAGCATATAAATGCACATATAGATAAACATACAATATCACAGGTAGTCCTACAGACCTACCCTCTAGCATGCATAACTAACTCATACTCACATATCAGTAACTACTAGGATATCAAATCCTATGGGCCGGACTTGGTGCCTTAGACCCCTTAGTATAGTGAGGAGAACTCACCTCACAAGTGTTGTGCTGAAGCGATAAGCTCAACTCTCGAATCACAGTCACAGACTCCACCACCTCAAGAACGATGCTAGGATGAAATAGAACTCAGATCCACAGCCCTCCTCCTTTCCAAGCTTGAATGCTTCAACATCTTCCTTCCACAATCCACCATAAGGCTTAATATCACACAAAAGAGAGGAAAACGGCAATTTAGGGTTTCTGGACTCACAAGGGGTTGTAAAGGGAGGCTAAGGGGGCAAATGATCCTTTAAATAGGGTGCAAAACCCCCAGAATCTAGGGTTTCATCCCCCCAGCTCCAACTCGTCGAGTCATCCTTCCGACTCGGCGAGTTGGTCACTTAAACACGTGGCCCCAAACGCTCCTACTCGACGATCCAGGGCATCCAACTCTTCGAGTAGACCTTTCAAACATGAAAAATAAATCTGTAAAGTTAATACCCGAGATTCGGGGTGTTACAATCTACCCATCTTTACCCAAAATATTCATAGGTATAAAAATACATATACAGTTTAAATCAAGTAAAACATGTATAATTTGTTCATCCAACATTAATATCAAGAACACGGATAATATGCACATATAACACGTAATTTATATTAAATACTTCATATCTATGTGTAAGATGAAAGTAACTATGCACTCACTTGTTAAAGCGATAACTCCAAACTCGGGCAGCGCTTCGCTTCTAACAATCGACTTTTCCTTCGACGAAACCTAATTATCATTATTACTAGATTTTAGTCCAATATTCACTGTGACTAATTATTAGTCTAGACTTATTATTAACTCAAGGTCTACGAGCAATAATGCTTTTCTTGTATTACATAAGTGTTAAACAATACTTTTCAACTACTATGTATAGATAGGGGCCAGACATGAAACACCGGAGGGCAGGACCATTTTGGCATTTAAGCTGTTCTGAAATCCAACAACCCTATGCGACCCTTCAAACCAGATTCCTCGTACCGTGAGCAGTTAAAAGGTATTATAACAACACTTTGTATAATTTATAATACTTAGCACATATATTGTTTATAGGTTCATAATAACGATAATGAACTTAAAAATAAGTTATACTTAAAGTAGGCAAAGCATAACTTACTTACAAGGGGGTTTAGCTAGGAGTCGGGCTCTGCGGGGGCAGAACTTATGAGCCGAATGCTCTTCTTCTAGGAGCCTTCTGGCGCTCTGGGACTCACCTCTAGCACTTGGGAAGTACTAGGTAAGGGGAGGGATTAAGAGAAGTAATTGAGAGAGAAAGAATGGGAGAGGTGTGAAGAAAATGAGAGATTTGCGCCTCTATTTATAGGCTATCCAGGGGCGATTCACGTCGTGAACCTTATATTCATATCGTGACCTTGCGTAGGCACCAAGGCTTCGCATGGTGCTGACACGTGGCGCGGGACGCAGGTAAAACAGTCAATCTTCAAAAATTCACAACTTTCGTATACGAGCTCGGTTTTTGACGTTATTTATATCCACGTGTAGGTATTGACAAGATCTACAACTTTTGTTTAGACTCTGTCGGCTAATCTTGACTTTATTTTTAAAGTTATATTTTTAACAGGCCGGGACAGGAAAAATCTATTAAAAATTCATAACCTTGTCATCCGACGTCCGTTTTCGTCTGTCTTTTTATCGTTGAGCTCCTATTAAACGAGATGTTCAATTCTCGTTTAGGTTGTGTCGGCTAAAAATCGGTCGATCTAATATTCGAACTCCGGGTTGCATACTGCTATGCCGAATCTTGGAAAAATCTTAACTTCCTCATACGAAGTCAGATTTGGGCGTTCTTTTTTTGCACGTTCTCGGTTTAACGTATACTACGACTCCCGTTTAGATCGCTAAGGCTAAAAAGTAATTTATCAAAATTCACTTTTTATGTTACGCGGTGTTGTGCCGGTTTAGCCGTAAAACTTTGACAGGTCGTAACTTCTTCGTTATAACTCGGATTTCAGCGTTCTTTATATGTACGGAACCCTTGTGAATATACTATAATTTGGTTAAGATTATTCATTCTAAATAATCTTCTATAAAAAGTCATTTTTGACGTTTATTGTCTCTAAATTGACTAGCCCGAATCTACGGGCGTTACAATCTAATCGCATATGATTTATGTGGACAAAATTCATTTTCGTGTTCTCGATTCAATAGTTGTTCTCATGTATTTAATCACATGTGATTATACGTATCTAATCATATATGATTTATGTGAATAAGATTCAAATTCACGTTCTCAATTCAATAGTTGTTATATGTATTTAATCATATGTCATTTTATGTATTTAATCACATACGATTAATATGGACAAAGAACAACTATTGAATCGAAAACACAAAAATGAATCTTGTGCATATAAGTCATATGTGATTAGATCATATAATCACATGTGATTTAATACACGAGAACAATTAACGAATCGAGAACGCAGAAATGAAACTTGTCTGCGTGTCTCACTAGAAAACAAACTACATTCTACCTTTCCTTGTTCACACTACCGAATTAGGGTATCTGTGAATAATAACGTAAAACAAGTAATGCCTATATAATATGAGAGTTATTGTAACTCACTTCCTTAAACTTGAAAATTACCTAGCATGAACAATATGGATCCTTTCCTTTCCGAGAACCTACACAACAATTATAACATTATTTAGCTTTTGATTTGTTGTATTACTCTTATAAAACTTATGTATATATTTTCTTATATTCTCTTTGATTGTAGTGCTCTTTTTGGGATCTATTTTCTTACCTTTCAACCCGTTCTTAAATTTCGATAAAATAATATTGGTAAAGTTACCCATTTTGTCTTTTCATAAATATAATGATCTCGTTTTAATGACTTTTGGTTGATTTTATATTAAATTTACAAGTTAGTAACTTTAAGTTGTCACTTTCTGGACCACTCAACACTATTGGAATAAACTGTACCAATCTGCTAAGAATTACATCAGTCCCTTTATATATGGGAAACTATACATCCATATCTAACTATAGGATTTGGAATTTTGGCATTTGGAATTCTAATTAATTTATTATAATTTTTTGAAAACAATGCATGAAATCTGTGACAACATGGACCAGCCTAAGAAGATTGCCAATTTTACCCCTCAAGGAGTTGGAATTTCAAGATGTGATTCAAATTTTGAAGAAACTAGACACACTAAGATTTCCATAAAACTAAGTCTCATGATTTTTAGGTGTTCTTATTGACTTGCACAAATTTTAGCAGTTGGAGGACAGATTTGGGAAAATTGATCATAATAGCTTTTAAATCACTTTTGGTGTTCTATTAAGGACTTAATGGTTAAGCCTTAAGTTTATTACTTTTTATACGATTGTTGGTTACTTGTTAGGATATTGAGATGTTAAATTCAATTTAACCTAAGGGCCTTAATGCTTGGCTTAATGAGGGCTCAAAGTTAAGGATTATCACATAATATGCCACTTTTACACTTATTAGGGTTAAGTTGCCAACTTAACCCATTAAACTCTTTAAGGCACATATTGGAAGGAAAAATGAGTCCTACACAGAGGCAAATTAAACAAAGACATCAAAATATGTTTGGGGGAACTATGCAAGAATATAAAATCCAATTTATAATCTCAACAACCAAACATTTAAGTTGTTGAATATGTTTGGGGAAATAAAGTCCAGTAAAAAAACATAGGCAAATTAAACAGAGACATCAAAATGATGCTATTTCAGCAAAAAATAGTCAACAAGCACCTACAAACTGCAACAATAAATACACCACCTTGTTCTTGATTTATTTGTGGAGGTTTTTTCAGTATTTCATCGAACACTTGGTGTTCATAAAAAAATCTATAAGCTGTCACAATTTTGAATGTCTCAAATGGATAACAATAAATACTTCTAACAAAAGTACATACAGTATCTATTCCCAATTAGAGTTCTGTTTATTTATATACTTCATGTCTTCGACAGTTTGCTAAATCGTGTAAACAATATATTGCATTAGAATATGTTGAAATTGATTATCGATTTGGAACAATGGACTTCTTATTTTAGTAAACAATAGTTTTATTGAGCGATAAGCTTATGGTAAGTACTAGGAGAGCACAGATAGAGGTACCTGGTTTCCACGATGAGTAAAGTTGAGCTTGGAGTATATGGTAGGGAAACCACAAGTAAACCATAAGCACAATAAAAATGATTGGATATGACAATTTTGAGTTGAAATCCCGTTGCCATCCCTCCAACAATTTGTAATCGAGCAAATTTGAATGTCTCAAATGGATACCTGACTCAAAATCATCGTTTTATTGTAGTAGAGACGCTTCATAATGAGGTTAAGGATCCAACAGAAAAGACTGGAACCATAGAAAACATCACGATCGGAGGTGGTTTGGGGCGTCAGTTCAGGAAGATGAGAGGATGTGGTTTCTGACGAGCGGTGGATGTTCCCGACGAGGGAACGAGTGCGAGCGAAGGAAGGATGTGAAACCAGATCTGCAAAGAGTGGAGAGATAGTGTTCTGGTGGTGGTCCGGTTGATCCTCTGGTGTCCGTTGATGGCGGTGATGTAGTCTTGATGAAAAGTTTCAAGTGACATAACGAATGGTTGAAAATTATAATGGTTAAAAATTGTTCTCAAATGTTTTCAAAATAGAAAATGTTCTAATTTGAACATACAATCTCTATATAATATATTATATATATATATATATATATCTATATATATATATATATATATATATATATATATATATAGAGAGCGAGAGAGATGAGGAGAAGAGAGCAGAGAGAGAGAGAATGGTTCAAATGAGAACACCAAAAGATTAAGAACCCTAAGAACCCTCATTTAATAAGTGAATATATATTGTGAATATTATCAAGTATATTAAAATCCAAATTTTTGTCTTTTTGGTAAAAAAATGGCAAAATCGTAAAAAAAATTTGGTCTAATATTTTCATGCATACATTTATTCATATTTTAACACAAAACTTATATAAAATACAATTTTATACACTCCATTTATAGTTTAATACACAAATTTCACAACTTAATAAAACTTATTTTACATTTATTCTCAAATTCAGAGAAGTTAAACCCAAACTTTACCACCACTACACGCCACCAGCAACCACTTGAGCAAGCACTGCAACATTTTTTTCTTCCAAATGAGATCTGTATAAAGTGAGGCAATGACAAGTTAAATACTACATTCATTAATTCACCTATTTTGAAGTTAATGCAAAATCATTATAAAAACTAAGGCATTCTTACATACTTATACAACATAAAAAATAAATATATTCATAAGAAATTAATGCAAATTTTTTTTTGCATAAATCAGTCATATTTTAAAACAAAAATTATATATAAAAAAATCACAGCAACATTCAGTCAATTCACAACTTAATATAGTTAATTATCGTTGAATATATAAAATTAAACATTAATATAAAAAATTAACAATTTAATACATAAAAATGTCATATTCTTAACTTAAAACATACATTTATATATTTAGATCTAGAGGTTGGTGTTTTTTCAAAGTTTAATTTACATAATATTCACAATTTAAATTTTATATAATTTAGTTAAAATTAGAGAAAATCATATATGTGTATAATGATTCTTTCTTCTCATATTTCAAAAGCAAAAACAAAATTCATAAAAAATTAAAATCTTAATACAACCAATTCACAAATTAATACAATTAATTCACAGTTTAATACATAAAATTCACAACTTAATACAATAATTCATAGTTTAATACGTAAAATTTATATATGCACAACTATATTTTTTAATATAATACTAACAATTATACGTTCATATCTAGAGACATTTTTATCTATTAAATGGTGAATTTATTATACTGAGTTGTGAATAAATTTACAGCTTAACACAACAAATTCACAGTTTAATACAATACATTCACAACTTATTTACAAGTATCTAGAGACATTTTTATCTATTAAATTGTGAATTTATTATACTGAGCTGTAAATAAATTTACAGCTTAACACAAAAAATTCACAGTTTAATACAATACATTCACAACTTATTTACAAGTATAATCTCATATTTCAGTGTATAAACAACTCATTTATATTTTAATACATACATAAATTATCTCATACTTCAAAAGCAAACATCAAAAGAAAAATATATATATGAATCATAAAAGATGATAACTTATCTGAAAATGCACCAAGCACACCCATATCTGACTACATCTGAGAAATTGGTGCGTCTTTGGCTTTAAATCTAAAAGGTTGATGACATTTGGTGGTTTTTCAGACGATCTGCGGCGAGGAAGCTTGTTAAAAAACAAAAAGCTTTATGAAATCACATCTGAATGTCAGATCTGATCAGATCTATGTAGATCTGGTATGATGCGATCAACAATGATGGAGAAAAACTAATTTGCAGCCATATAGTTAATTTACAATTTAAAACACAAAATTTACAGTTTAATACACAAAATTCACATGTTAATACAATAAATTCACAGTTTAATACACAGAAAGTATACTTTCACAGCCATATTATCAACTTAAAACTCTTAATATATTCAATTCACCGGTTCATACAAAAAATTTACAATTTAATACAACAATTACACAATTTAATATACAAAATTCACAATTTAATATAGTAAATTCACAGTTTAATATAGTTGAATAATTGTTAAAATAGAAAATTCACATCTTAATGCATTCAATTTATAGTTTAAAATACAAAACTCACAGCTTAAGACAATAAATACACAACTTAGTACACAAAAAATATGCATTTACAGTCATATTATCAAATTAAAAAGTCTTAATACAATAAATTGACAGTTTAATACACAAAAGTATAATTTTAGAACCATATTATCAACTTAAAACTCTTAATACATTCAATTCACTGGTTAATACAAAAAATTCACAACTTAAAATAACAAATTCACAACTTAATATACAAAATTCACAACTTAATATAGTCAATTTACAGCTTATTATAGTCTATTCGTTGTTTAAAATTAAAATTCACAGCTTAATACACTCAATTTACAGTTTAAAACACAAAACTCACAGCTAAAGACAATAAATACAAATCGTAGTACACAAAAAGTATGCATTTACAGCGACATTATCAAATTAAAAGTCTTAATACAATCAAATCATGGTTTAATACAACAAGTTCACAGTTTAATTTAAAAAAATTCTATATTCTCAACTTAACAACAGTTAAAACTAAGATTAACAAAATTGGACGACATATGAAAGAATAAAACATCATATTCACACCTTAACATAATGAAAAAACGATAAAAAAAAGAAACTGCATCATAGATATATGATACATGCAATTCATAAAAATCAAATGTCTCGACACAATTCCATGAGAAAAAAACTATTATTTCGTTAAAGGCATATCCTGATATATAAAGCCACTGCAAAATCATAACTTTGTGTTCAAAATATGTATTAGACGCGGGCTAAACACGAGCATTAGGGGAGCCCAAAGAGAAATAAATCAATATAAAACCATATAAACAATCTCAATTTGTTTCATGGTAATAATATACAAAATGTTTAAACAAAATAATTAATAAAAAGTTATCTTAAATTGGTTATCGAAAGATCTGAAAAAACAATTAATATGGAATATGTATATCTTAACAAAAATTATTGTTTACAAAATTGAACTAACCTAGAAATTTTGCTACATGGAACAAATTAACTCAAAAAACTAAATATACTTATACAAATTATAGCTCCATACCAGAATTAAATAATATAAATAGTTACCTAAAACTTGTTCCACAATTAGTTTTTAAATAAAAAGCTTATATATGTATATCGTAGTTTTTGACAATTAAATGTCATTATCAACACAAATATTATTTTGATTTACCTTATTTTCATATGAAATATATATAAAAACATATGTTAGCAGTACTTTTTTAACAATAAATATAAAAATCGTATATAATATCAATTAATATAAGTAAACAATATCAATTAATATAATTAAACAAGTATGAATATTAAACTAAATATATTATCATTACTTTATGAAAGAGAAGTAGCTGTGTACCACTTATCTAGTTATCTTCTCCGCCATGTTCCCCTTCCTCCATTTTATATGAGTTCTTTTTTTTTTTCCTTTTTACCCTTTCTTAGATTTAATGGTTGCAAGTAATGAGAATTTATTTGATTATAAAAAGATTAATGTTTTCAAAGTTTGTTAGGCTCAAAACTGCTGCAAATAACGCAATACAACACAAGGATTTCAATCACAAAAACAAATCTGAAGTCATTACCTCGATTTGAGTGAAACTCCACCGAATTTAAAGAATGCTCGTTGTGAAGGATATAAGTTTAGATCTGAAGAGGTTGAGATGTGCATCGATGAACACAGTGTGAAAGATATCCATCTGAGCATAAGTTGTGACATATGAAGGCCCTTGGTGGTCGGAGATGAACAAGATAGCTGGAGGTGGTCGGAGACAAAGTAGATCCGGAGGAATAAAAGACAAAGCAGATCTAGAAGGAGCCGATTTTGGTAGATCCTCACAGCTCGCCGCCGGAGTTGTAGATTTGGAGAAAGGAAATCGTCGTTGTTAGAGCACTGAAGAAAAGAGAGGACGACGCCTGACAACGTCTTCTAGTGTTTTAGCGAGGTCGGAGGTCAGAGACGAAGCAAATATCACAGATCTGAAAGTGTGGAAGGTTAGATCTGGTGTTTCGACGGTGATAGTTGTGGTTCATAATCTGAATGTGTAGAAGGCCGGATATGGCTTAGAATCACCGGAAGTTCCAGATAGTAGTGAAGATGTAACTTAAAGTCGCTAAAGTTCCAGATCTGAGATTGACATCTAACTTAGATTAGTTGGAGGTTGGGATTTGTAGGTCGGAGGTCGTTGGTTGTGAGCTTGGAGGACGGTAGCTGGTAGGAGGCAGCAGAGTGACGGTAAAAGGTGGTAAGGCAGCTACGGTGGCTAGAGGCGACGATGGGGTGGATGATGGTGGTAGTTGGAGGAGATAGTGGTAGAGTTTTGGTATAAGTTCTTGAAAGTTTGTAAGAAAGTATGAGGGGAAGAAATCATATAAGAGGTTCTTAGAGTTCTTAACTTTTTGAGGTTCTTATTTGATCTTTTATATATATATATATTATATATATATATATATATATATATATATATATATATATATATAAGGGAGGGTTCAATTGAGAAAAAAAAAATTGAGAATGGGGGAATCATTTTCAGCCACTCATTTATTTTTGTCGCAAAAGCCTCCGTCGTACCAGCGGAAATAGGAAATGAATAGACATGTGTTTTCCAACAAAACATATTTCCTTAAACTATGCTAATCATTACCTTAATATATAGAAAAAACATAGTTTTTTTCGTTTTTTTTTAATTTTTAGAAGCTATTTTTATCAAAAAATGATTTTAAATATACCAAAATTCATGATTTTTTATTATCTACAAATAGACATCCATATTAATATAGTTTTAAGATAAAATAAAAAATTTATTTTTTTTATATTTTCAGCTATCGTTATTCATAAGTGAATTAAAATGCATCAGGTTTTATTACAGTATATTCGTTATTCACTTATGAATAAAAAGTATGATTTATTTTTTTTACAATTTAAGTATCATTCATATATGAATATAGCATATAATAAATATAGTATATTCATATTTAAATATTGGACGATGTATTCACTTGTGAATATTAACATAGTACATTTACTTGTGAATATTAGATGGTATATTCACTTATGAATATTAAATGATATTTCATATGTGAATATTACATAGTATTACATGGTATATCACATGTGAATATTACATAGTATATTCACTTGTGAATATTAGATGATATATTCACTTATGAATATTACACAGTATATTCACATATGAATATTACAAGGTATATTCACTTGTGAATATATTCACTTATGAATATTAGAAGGTATTTTGACAAATATATATAATTTTTATATGTTATTCACATATGAATAACATACAGAATTGCATATTTGTTTTGTCTTTTTAATAATCATATACTGATTCAGGTGAAAAAACATATTCATATGTGAATATAACGTGGTAATTTAGTTTATGCATTTCATCAAACAGTTGGAGTGCATATAAGTTAACTATTTTAAAAATGTTAAAAACATCAAGTTATCAATTCCAAAATCATCATATACTTCCGATTTCGACTTCAAATGCGACATCCTATGTCTGATCGGTTTCTCATTTTGATTTTGATTTCCGAAAATCCGATTGGGAACCTGTGAGTACCGATTCTGAGTCCTTCAATGTCGACTGTGACTGCGAGTCCAGAACTCCGATTCCAATTTCATGAACAACGAAGAAATTCTGATTCCAACTGATTTCGTTTGCGAATCTGGGAAATTCCAGTTCCAAATCCGTTATGAACTTTAACAAATGCTTGCAAGCTACGAACATTCGGAGTATTCAACAAAGAAATCGATGAAATTGATGAATTTGGGTTGCGAATCTGTCTTGAACGGCGGACCTCCCAGCCACGAATATCGATGATTGATTAACACTGGATGATTGTTGAAGGTTGGAGGAGAAATTTTGATGATGAACGAACTGTTATCGAATTCTCTATAGTTACGTATTTGAGATTGAAGGTTATTAACATATTTACAAGTTTGCCACCGTGTCTTTTTATGCTTACATTAAATGAGTGGCTGAGAATGATTCCCCCATTCTCAACCTTTTTTATTTTCTCAATTGAACCCACCTATATATATATATATATATATATATATATATATATATATATATATATATATATATATATATATAGAGAGAGAGAGAGAGAGAGATAGAGAGGTAGGTTCAAATGTTTCTCACATATATTGTGTGCTAGAATGCACCAATAAGAATTTAGTATTAATTATATGTATATTAAATGTTATCCATACTTATAACTCATTTTTATGGAAACTAATTAAATTCGTCATTAATGTCAACAATAATATTCTTTCAGAATGAATTCATATCTAAAAGATTGAGAGTGTATTCCAGCAGAATGAGAGTATATTATAGTAGAATACACTCTCGTTCTTAATATTCCATGCAACTTTATTGTATTTTAAGTGAGGAGTCCTGAAACAAAATACGAATTCATATATAAAAACCTAGATGCGAATTCATTCTGAAAAAATGTTATTGCTCACATTAATGACAGATTTAATTAGTTTCCATAAAAAGAGAATTATAATTATAGATATCATTTAATATACATACAATTATGAAAATCATTTAATATCTATATTTATTTAATTAAATAATTATTTAATTTACTAAATTCATATTGGTGCATTCTAGCACACAATAAATATAAGAAACAAATATATATATTAAAAAAACTCCAATTAGCACCGCTATTTATAAATTTAATTTGCAAAATTTATTAAATAAAATAAAACACTTAGGGCAGCCCTAAATCTTTTCCCCTCCCATGGTCGCTGCTTCTCAATCAGATCCAAGTTCTAAAAATGGGAAAATACCGGCAATAGTAAAAAAAATGGGGGGTATTTTCAAAAAATAGACACAAAAAATTGGATTTCCGGATATAGACATGGATTCCGCGGAGGTAGCTCCGCGGAATGGCAAAATCGTAAATAAATGAGTGTATTAAAAAAAAAACCTCAAGATCCATTCCGCGGAGCTACCTCCGAGGAATGAACTCATTCCGCGGAGGTAGCTCCGAGGAATGGATCTTCAATTTTTTTTTTTTTACATCGATTCTTCGAGGTTTATATTCATTCCCCAACTAATTATTTTCAAGCAAAGATTATCATACTATCATAATCTTTTTCTTGAAAATAATTAGTTGTGGAATTAATATAAACGTCGAAGAAACGATGTGAAAAAAAAATCTAAAGATTCATTCCGCGAAGCTACAGTACATTCCGCGGAACTACCTCCGCGGAATGCATGTCTATACCTGGAAATGTCCATTTTCATGTCTAAATTTTGAAATTACCGACCATTTTTTTTTTACTATTGACCAGGTATTTTCCCTCTAAAAATTGCAGGTATGGCATTTGGATTTAATATTATTTCTATCTCTAAACCTCCATTGTTATTGATTAAGCGTGTTTCGTGGGCATAAGTCACCTCTCATCCACTAAGCCTGTAATTAGTTATATGATCTCGCTTTCAATACCCTATTTCTTCGACGTTAACAAATTTGAATCCAACAAACGGAAATGAATACATTAATTTTACGTTCACTTACATTGGTTTTGGCTCTAGGCCTTGTACAGGGCTTCGAATACAACGAGAAAGATCTTGAAACGGAGGAGAGCATGTCCAATTTGTACCAGAGGTGGAGGGACCACCACAACCTGCAGGAAACAACCCACGCCGAGAAACATAAACAGTTCAAGGCGTTCAAATCCAACCTGCAACATGTTCACAAAACAAACAAGATGAACAAGCTGTATACATTAAAGTTGAACCAATATGCAGGGATGACAAACGATGAGTTTATGAGCAAGCATACCGGATTTAAGTCCAAGCGTCACATGCATCACATGTTGCACCAAAGCGAACGCAACGAAGTCACGAATTTCATGTATGCTGATGCCGTTGATGTCCCTCGGGCGGTTGATTGGAGAAAAGAAGCCGTCACCCCTGTCAGGACTCAAGGCATATGTGGTAAGTTCGATCTTTTGGATTTCATCATCTTTGATTATATATCTTGATCACGCTCATCTATATATGGATATTAACTACAGGAAGTTGCTGGGCGTTTTCAACGGTGGATTCGGTTGAAGGAATTAATCAGATCAGAACCAAGAAACTAGTAAGGCTATCACCACAACAACTTATCGACTGTGACATTCATGGCGTCAATAACAGAGCATGTGACGGAGGGATAATGGGGGATGCGTTTGAATTCATCACAAAGAATGGAGGTATAACCACAGAGGAAAACTACCCTTACACAGGTGTAAATGTTACTTGCAACGCCGCAAAGGTATATATATATAATTAATAACTTAGTTCAATTGGGATCAAAACTTGTATAATTAAATCCGTGGATTGATCATTGATGTGATGCATCCGCAAATCGATCACAGGCGGCTGATCATGCAGTATCGATTGATGGTTATGAAAATGTGCCTGAAGAAAATGAAGATGCTCTATTGAAAGCAGTTGCCCACCAGCCTGTATCTGTTGCCGTTGATGCTCAAAGTAATGATTTCCAGTTATATGCAATGGTATATATCTCAAAACTCGACACATAAAATTATTTCCAACCAATTCCATGGTGTTTTTTTATGATATTTTACACGATTTGCGATGAGAAAAAGTAGCTAAATATGAATATTGAAAAGGAATTGCATGCAAGTGCAGGGGGTTTTCACTGGAGAGTGTGGAACGGATGTTAATCATGGAGTAACAGCGGTTGGGTATGGAGAAACCGACGATGGAGTCAAGTACTGGATAATAAGAACGTCGTGGGGGGAATCATGGGGAGAGAAGGGATACATGCGACTGCTACGTGGAGTTCCTGACAAAAAGGGCGTTTGCGGTGTAGCAGTCTATGGTGCTTATCCTCTTAAGAACTCTGATAAAAACCCTAAATCATCATTGAACAGGGAAGAACTCTAGAAATAATCATATAACTTCCTATACATAATACTGTTGAGACTTGAGACTTGAGAGAGATATGTGTCGATACACGAACATAATTATCCCGATCGAAAAGCACAGGTAAACTACTTACTTCAACCGTAGGAGTATATAGAGTAGTAACACAGGTGATGCCGAATTTAAATTTATTTTTTAAGTGTATTAGATATGTAAAATGATGTTTAAGGAACATGTATTTTAGAATTGGGATGTCATATGCATCAACATTATGAAATAACTTATTCGAGATCAGCAATTATATAAATCAATATATGGTTTGATAAGAAAGAAAAAAAGTACAACCAAAACAACAAACATTAGCAACGTTGCAATCAGATTGCTTGGTATGCATACCAGGTTCATGGCATGGTGATTACAATGGCGAAGTGGCACCAATGGCGGATTTACAGCTTTGAAAGGGTATACCCTGGTTAGTTACTAGAAGTACTTATATATTCTTTATTAAAAGAATATATTTATATATAATCATTGACGGATAGGGCCGGGGGTTGTGCCCCCTAATTTTTTTTATAATTAGTCCAGAAGTAATAAAAAGTAATAAAAAGGTTACATATTATGTCCAAAACTATAAAATTTGATTTTGGCCCCCTGTTTTTCGATTTTTATACGTATTCTATTTTCGGCCCCTAAATCAAAACTTCAAGCTCCGTCACTGTATATAATGTTTAATAATGCATACCCTTCTCAAATTACTTGCATGCCCAAATAACAATTCCAACCTAAGAAAACAAGAATTCAGCACAACTACATTTGACGGAATAGAAATTTCTTAAAAATATTTACATCCTTATACTTAATAAATGGAACCAACAAAAAAAATCTCACAAAATCTACATTCCTAATCAAGTTATAATAAAAAAAGTTACAAGTATTTGAATTCATGTTTAATAGATTCTAAATTCGTCACATTTTTTTACAAAACCAACTAAAAGTTTGATAACTATAAGTACTCGACGACAACATTTGTAAACTTTACTCTTGATGTTAAGTGTTTTCTAGCATTTTCTTTAAAAAAATTATTGATTAAAATTTACTATATAATTGCATACACTAATTTATTTTTCTAGATCCGTCTGGTGGCACAGTTCATGGTTGGCGTGGCCCGATGTGGTCTCAACCACCACTCACAATGCGGAGGGAAAGAAACGGACGGTCAAAACTTGCCGTTGTTTTTTATAAACTATATTTTCCATGTAAATACTAATCAATTAACCACAATACCTTTACACTATAACCTTTCATTCTATACTCTCCAAACATTTCTTTGCCTCCTACTTTTTCGCTCAACCCATAGAGCAAAACCCGAACACACCACTAGATATTACGATTCACCAAGTGATGCATAGCTTCATGATTATGCTACGGGGTTCACCAATTCCACTTCAAAACCTTTTCCAACATCCATTTCAATAAAATGATTTTGAACAACCCTTTCAACTAACCCTTACAGACAACCATTCAGATTCCCACCAAACATCCTCTAACAACAATAATTTCAACCCCAACCTTCTCAACCACAACACGAGCATGAATCGGTATCGGATCCGATACGCAAAACATAACCGGAGGAATAACCAAAGCTTAAAAAACTAAAGGCAAAAAAACCATGATGCCACAAAATATAATGGAATTAGTCCGAAGACGAGAAAGCCACATTAGCGCATGCTTGGACATCCATCTCCCAAGATAACTAGAACCACCAATTTGCCAAACGTTATTGGGAGTGGGTTGTAGACTATTTTCGCACAGATATGAAAAATGGGATTTATCATTATAACGACGTTCTGTCTTCCAAATGCTGCAACCTGAGGGAGTTGCACCCAATTCAATGACATCTTCAAAAATCTTAGCAATATGTATAAAAGTGGAAGAAACAATTTTGACATCTTAAATACCGTTCTCCAACAATATTGGAGTAACCACGGTGGTAAAACATTTACCCATCACAAAGAGCATGGGAAGTTCTCAAAACGAGTTTGAAATACGTACTTAACGTAGATGTACTTACACAATCAACCTTATCTAAAAACAGTCCTAAATGTTAAACAAACTTTATACACCCTTAATACAATCGACCACAACGGTGATGTTGACGAGATTCCACCGGATAAATCCCTTCGACAACCGTTTCGAAGGGATAAAGAAAAGTGAGTTGCAACGTCTTAAGCCAAAAACGTACCCAAAACAAGTGCCTTAAACTTTTCTAAGGAAAAGTTTGAAGGACATCTCCAATTACAAAAGGAAAAAATGGTGCCAGTAATATCATTCCAGTAAGTTTCAACCTTTGGATGTTCCTATGCAAAAGTAAAATGAATTTACCATGGATTTTATAACGAGGTTGCTAAAAGTCCCTAAGTATATGATTTGGGACTAGTTCTCATTCTCTTGAGAGTACTGAATCGTTTTTGTTGGAGAAATTAGTCGGAATCTATGTGAAGGAAATTATCAAATCAACATGGTGTTCACCGATAATTGTATTTAATCATGATAAGTGTATCACTTGTTGATTTTGGCAAGGTTTGGGAAAGGAAATTGTTACAACGGATAAAATGAGTATATTATGTACCAAGCGAACGTGCCATCCATGTGGTCGAGGATATGTTGCAATCACGTGCTCTTAATTTTAGTGGAGCTTAGGGGTTTTAAATAAATGTGGATGCAAGTTATAGTAATTACAAAAGATAGATATGATGTTTATTTGATGATTGTCAACTACTATGCAAAAAAAATCACACAAATTTAACGTATGTTTGTTAACTAAAATACAGTTAAGATTTGTGTTTATGTTGGTGTGTCGCTCCCCTTTTAGACTAATGAGACTTGCAAGATATCTTAATTTTTCGTAATAGGATTTACACATCAGATGCAATGTAAATTAATGTAGTATGGGGTACCCATCACGTATCGTGGACAATAAATGTTTTTTGTTACAGGTGTTTTCGGTTAATGTTAGGTGTTGTTTATTTTTTAAAAGATAAACCATTTTTCGTGAACCACTACTGCAGAAGAACATGTGAACATGTGGACTAAATGTTGTAATTTGTAAAAAAAAATAAATAAATAAATAAAAATCCTCCCAAGTCATAGACTCAACCACCTCGCCTCCCAATGCGTGCCCAACCTCCTCCTACCAATCTCAAGCTCTGTCTTTCAGAAGTCAGGAAGCAAATCTGACATTTGCCCCCTCGAGGCAACAGCTAGTCCAGAAGGCGTTCGTGACACCCGCTAACCAACGCCTGCTCGCAATCAGGTCCTTCTTCCCGAAGAACTACAGAGCCTCGCATGCCCGAAACTCTCGGAAAGTCAAAGTGAGAGCTCTCATCATCGACACCATCTCAGAACGAAAAGTGCCCAAGCGCTCATCCAGAATATCCAGAATACCCTCCTTAATCGTGTCAAATATCACATGAGTCTGATCAAGAATAATGTGGGTAATCTCTGTTGAAATGAACTCCCACATCTGATCATCCATAAAATCGGCTCCAAAGCCCGAACCCGAACCATCACCGGCACCAGAGTCGCTACCAGAACCTCCTCGAGTGAACACCATATTGAAAATAAGCCATATAAACCATCACAACATACTCGAAGAATTCCATAGTCTACAAGCTTCCTGGTTTCTTTGTGACTCTCATTGACTCGAGTACGGATCCTATGCTTCCAATAGTACGAGCCCATACTACCTTCCACATCTATCTGTACTTTCCTCAAGGATCGCCCTGAATCGCCCAAGTCACTTCCCTAACAATCCAAACAGCCCTCAACAAAACAAGGCTCCTTGCACCGAATCACCTCCTAGGTTTTCCTAAGGCTACCACCACACCACTCTCCGCCATCAGCTGCAGAAGGAACTCCCCCTAACACCTTCTAACTACCTTACGAGTACAATTACATACCACCGACACCAGATAATTCTTCGAATGAAAGGTTTCACACTACAACGGTTGGACTCAAAGAAGAACTACGCAGTAGAGTTAAACCTAACATTCTAAAATTATCTAATCTCAGTAATATGTAATTTAGTGTATTCACTTACTAGTTAGCTGATGTTATTGGAAACTCCTAAAAGCACAAAGCAAGCAACACTCGAGCATTGAGTAATCAGAATCAAGGCATAACCTAAACATGCCATCCTATCACTGATTGATCAGTACTAGCATGTAAGTTTACAAGCTCATACAACATGCATATAAATGCATCTCTCCTAGCATCCTATCATGCAAATCCTGAGCATATCCTTAGCCCTAATCTAGCATGTGATTCACATATTCTCAATTCCAAGCATAACACAAAAACATGTATGGGTATTTTCGGAAAACTTACTTGAGCTCGGTCGAGTGCATGCACCACACCCCTTTCTTTCATTAGAAAACTCCTTTTTTATAAAACATTTCTTTTTATGAAAATTTTCCATGTCCTTCGTTTGAGTTCACATACCCGAGTGTGTGCCCGAATTCCTTAAACCAAGGCTCTGATACCTACTTGTAACGTCTCAAAATTCAAAACCAAAATTTTTTGTTTTCATATTAATTAAAACATCAACCAAACATGTTTAGTAAAACAAAATGAAAATCATAATGTATTCATAATCATCCAAAACACATCAGAGTCAAATATGTGAAAAATCCTTATGTGTGCGATGCGATCATCCCGAGATCTTCCCGTTTGATTCAGAAGTACCCGAAACATAAACTGAAAACCGTAAGCATGAAGCTTAGTGAGTTCCCCAAAATACCGCATACCTTACATATATGCCAGCTCAAGTGTCACACCCCCGAACCAGAACGGCGGAAACGTCCGGGGGTTTAGGTGACTTCATCTTGTAATATCATCACAGTGTAAATAATTGAATCAAGACAACATCATCATCACACATACAATAATTCAACCATCATTGTTTACATAAGTGTGTTGGATTACAAATTACATGCCAAAATAATAAGTGTATGATGATAACAAAAATACAACAAAATCCATGTGTTCTTGATGACCAACCCGCTTAACGATTTCCTGAGAATACAAGTTATTTTGAAAACGGTCAACATATATAACGTTGGTGAGTTCATAAGTATGTTTGTATGAAAAGTTTTGTATCACTTTGTAAACACCAGAAAATCCGATATTTTCTGTAAAAATGGTTTGAAAGTTTTGTATCAAATCTTGTATTAAAGCATGTGTGTTTCTGTTTTGAAAATGTATAAAGAGAGTATTCCAAAAAAAAATCCCATGTTTTC